CAAAACCTCATAACACAAGGCAAGCTTAAGAGTAAAGTGTCCAGTTTGAGCACTACCAGCTTAATGACTGTCCTGCAGAACCATTTCCGTTGTTTCTCATTTGGAATTAATTTAGCAAAGCTCTAGGCTTTAAAAATTGGGTTTGCTCAGGGACTTACCTGAGTGAATGCAGCTTGGTGTATCTCCCTGATTTAGCTGTTATTCCAAGTTTGTTAGAGTGTCATCCCTAAGTGTGACCCATTATGCTAGGAATTGTACACTGAATAAATACAACTCTTTACTCATTGAGAATAATGATCAACTTCTGAAGAGCTGTGTGGAAGAGTTCCTGTATGGACTGTGGTGCTTCAAGAGAGAAGTCCGATCCAAAACAGTTTTGACTACCTGAATCTGTTGTTTCACATGGAAAATTGTTTATCTAATCTAAGATGAACTCTGTCAGACAATTTCATTTCTTTATTTACCAACCTGACATCTTTTGATCCTGTGATACAGTCTACCTCCCATTTAATGAGTATGAATAGAGGAAAATCCTTGTGTCCTTTAGGAAACACTTAAAGGTCTCTTCGATCTTACTGCAATATACAGACAGAAATATAGTAAGGGCTGTATGTCGTACTTATGAGGGGAAAGATAAAAATGGTTTGTTAGTTTCTGTAGCAATGGGGTTTTGGCTGAGAACCTACAGCTCCTTCAGAAAGATTAATTACATGGAAGACATCTTTAAACACCCTTAAAGATTCAGTCACAAGGAGTCCAAATCTCTATTAACCCTAATACCAGAAATAACAAACCCCAAGTTACCAGCATCAGAGAGCTTAGTTGCAAATACCAGCCCTTTCCTCCTCAGTTCCAGCCAGGAAAAACATACTTCCAGCTTTTGTACTGGTCATAGTGCAGGAATTATGCAAGAGGGATCCTGCTCATGTTGTTCCTGCTTCTACTCAGTGATAAGAACCAAGCATGTGTGGCTCTTGTTTAAAGTCAATGTTAAGTAAGCTAGATTCTCGGTAATTGAGAGAACTTTTTTTCAGCGGGAAGAAGTTCCAGATGACTACTACAAGCATGATCCTGATCACAAGCACATCTACCGGTTTGTTCGGACGCTTTTCAGTGCTGCACAGCTGACAGCTGAATGTGCAATAGTGACACTGGTAAGAGATGCCTGATTACTGAAATGGAGCTTTTGGAAGACTTTTTTGCTCTTCCCATCAATGAGTGAACTGGGCCAAACTGACATTTAAACTGTTACAGTATCTCATGAAACCTTGTTAATAATGAAGGCACTGTACAAGTGAGTTCATTAGAGAAGATTTCTAAGTAGTCACAGAAGTGGTTAATTAAAAAGGAACTTACTTTTCTATATATGAATATGTAAGGCTTAATTACTTGTCCAGTCACACTGTTTCATAACGTGTAACTTGTTGAACAACCTCGAGAAAGGCAGAACAGCGGGACCACCATAAACAGTGGGTTGTAATGAGATCAGACACAAAGACAACTTTTATTTCAGTTGTGTGGAAGGGAAGACAGGAGTTTGAGTTTCTTATTAACCAGAACAGTGCAAGTAGGAGTGCTGAAGAAGGGGTTGAGGACCAGTAGTGTAGGAACTCCAGGAGGCAAATGTTCTCATTATTAAGGTCTTCAACTATTTTAACCTTTCCATCAACTTTTTTTTTTATTCAACCAAAGAGTCTACAGATTTTTTCCCCATGGAGGTACTTGGGACTTAAGAACATTTGTAAGAAAATCATCTCACTACAGTTTGTTGTTTGATTTTTAGAAAGCAAGATGGATATAAAAGATTGCAATGCTGACTATGTATATACACACCAATATATGCATGCATATACAAATATTGTGTATGAAGGGAAAGAAAAAAACACAACCTGTATAATTGCTGCATTAGGCATCTCTTAAACTGCACTATGTTGCATACTAGCCTTCAGTCTCCATTGTGGCTTCTCGCTGAAGAACAGTCTGAAAGGAGAGCAGAACTGTCACCAGAAGACAATACAGAAATTAAGCAAACTCAGCTTGAAGGACTCTCTTTAATAAGGCAGTAAGAAATTGAAAGGGCCGAATAGTTAGAAACGCTAAAAGTACTTAGACATTTTTGCTTTTTCAAAGACGTGGGTACAATTTTAACAGAACAAGATGATAGCTGACACTGTGCGATCTAGCCAGCTATTTACAAAGAGAGTTAAAGTGGATTTCACCGCTAGATGGCTCTGTTACTATAGGAACACCTTTAGTCCACTAGAAGGCTACAAGCAGAGGATGGAAAGAAAAGTGGGAAAACCCTAGTAATAAAGATTGATCCTGCCGTTAGACCTGCACCCACTAGTTTATCTGGACTTAATTGAGGGAATAGAACGCTAAATTCAGCTATCCAAATTTGAAAGTGCAGATTACTGTGGTGTTCATTACAAAGGTGTGAAATAGTTTTTTTCTAAAAATAGACTTTTAAGGATGGGACTGATTCAATGTCTGTGGGCTGATCTGAGAATACATGGGAGGAATAAGTAAAAGACCAAGATATATCTTTAGCCTTGGGTATCTTTCACTATCTATCTAAGCAGTTGGTGATGTAGATGAAAGCAGAGGGTGACGCTGTTGTAGGTGAAGGATTGAAGTCTGTTCTTTTCCGAATGAAGTAGGAATAGCACTATAACACCCTTCATTGTGGGAAGATAGCAATTAATGCATCTTTGTCCCATGACTACAGATCACAGTGCAGGTTTTAGCACTTCCTATTAAGCTACAAGTTCTGAACCTTAAAGGTGATGAAAGGCAAGTGTGATCTTGAGTGATTTACTATCCTAGATAGGCCCTAATGAAAACTTGTCAATGACTGCATGACTCGGTGATGCAAAGAACCCTGTCAGTGTCTCCCTGAAACAACAGTGCTCATTGCTTGCTCAGAACTTATTCTCCAGTACCTTTATTGTATATCTTGGTGGTCCAGTTCTTATGTGATAATAAAATACGGAATCTGTAAATCCTGAAAGTTTGGATTCTAAAGTACAGGTAGTAATCATAGAATCATAGAATAGTTAGGGTTGGAAAGGACCTTAAGATCATCAAGTTCCAACCCCCCTGCCATGGGCAGGGACACCTCACGCTAAACCATATCACCCAAGGCTCTGTCCAACCTGGTCTTGCACACTGCCAGGGATGGAGCATTCACAACCTCCCTGGGCAACCCATTCCAGTGCCTCACCACCCTAACAGGAAAGAATTTCCTCCTTATATCCAATCTAAACTTCCCCTGTTTAAGTTTTAACCCTTTACCCCTTGTCCTGTTACTGCAGTCCCTAATGAAGAGTCCCTCCCCGGCATCCCTATAGGCCCCTTTCAGATACTGGAAGGCTGCTATGAGGTCTCCATGCAGCCTTCTCTTCTCCAGGCTGAACAGCCCCAACTTTCTCAGCCTGTCTTCATACGGGAGGTGCTCCAGTCCCCTGATCATCCTCGTGGCCCTTCTCTGGACTTGTTCCAACAGTTCCATGTCCTTTTTATGTTGAGGACACCAGAACTGCACACAATACTCCGGGTGAGGTCTCACAAGAGCAGAGTGGAGGGGCAGGATCACCTCCTTCGACCTGCTGGTCAGGCTCCTTTTGATGCAGCCCAGGATACGGTTGGCTTTCTGGGCTGCAAGCGCACACTGAAGCCGGCTCATGTTCATTTTCTCATCAACCAACACCCCCAAGTCCTTCTCCACAGGGCTGCTCTGAATCTCTTCTCTGCCCAACCTGTAGCTGTGCCTGGGATTGCTCCGACCCAGGCACAGGACCTTGCACTTGGCATGGTTAAACCTCATGAGGTTGGCATCAGCCCACCTCACAAGCCTGTCAAGGTCCCTCTGGATGGCATTCCTTCCCTCCAGGGTATCAACCGAACCACACAGCTTGGTGTCATCGGCAAACTTGCTGAGGGCGCACTCAATCCCACTGTCCATGTCAGTGACGAAGATGTTGAACAAGGCCGGTCCCAACACCGATCACTAATACTTACTTTGACATACTTAATGGTAATGGGATGAAATAGTAATATTGGACTGTCATGCTTGCTGCTCAGAACTCAGTCCTAATTGCACACATAAAACTTTGTTTGTTGTTTGTTTGGGTTTTTTTCTCCCTTTCTACAGGTGTATTTGGAAAGGCTTTTAACCTATGCAGAGATTGACATATGCCCTAGTAACTGGAAGAGGATAGTCCTAGGAGCTATTCTTCTGGCTTCTAAAGTCTGGGATGATCAAGCTGTGTGGAATGTGGATTATTGCCAAATATTGAAGGACATCACTGTTGAGGACATGTAAGTTGCAAGGTTTGGCTAATCTGCAGTGGTGGGGATTTTTGGGTTTGGGGTTGTTTGTTTTTGTGGGTTGGGTTTTTTTTTTAATGGCAGTTTTTGGGATCATGCAGTAAAATGTTTGGTGCTATGATACAGGTACATGATGTATATCTGGTGTCTGGCCTCATTCCCTTTCTTAACCTAGGAAACTTTGCATAACCCTACTTTGAGACAAATCTGTATTAATATTTCTAATGACTTGGGTGAGTAACTTTGCAGTTAGTTTTCTGTACCTTCTTTCCCCAAGTGATGAGCCATGGGGCTGGCTGCTTGTTTCCAGTTTGGTTTTTCTGCATTGGTGTAACTCTGAAGTGCCCAGTTCATAGTCTGATCAGCATTCTTTTGTGGAAGAAAAACACAAAGTGAACTCAGTTTGTTCCCTGCCTTGTCTGGTGTAGAATTTGAAAAACTGCAGGGTAAGCCATGACTTGTGTCTGCTCTTGTATCCAGCTAAGGCCTAAATATCTCAAGGTATGAATTCCTAGCTGCTGCTGCTGGCAGGCAGGTGTCATTTGTGTTGGGATCTGTCATTGCATGTGTTACATCCAGCTGCTGCTACAGCTCATCCTCTTTGGATGAGCTCTTGGACATGTGTGCAGTGCTGAGAACAAAATCCTCAGTCTTACTACTGCTTGTTTATGTAAGGCTGATCCTTGTATATATCCCTGTCTCAGGTGTAGATTTCAGCTTTTTAGGAATTTTGAATCTGCTGTCTTGTCTTGGTGCCTTAAGCCCTACGATTTCTGTGGTTTCAGAGGATGTTCATCCTTGTGGCTCCAGGCTCATACTACAGGCTGGAGGCATGCTTATGTGGTGTGGATTTGGCCATTAGATTTTGTGTTAAATTCCTTCTTGCAAAGTTCTGTGTCTGACAGCTTTGAGATGTCAGTATTACTGTTTTAATTCTATTTGCCATCTTCTGCCCCTATTGGTGGTGTTACCTCAGTGGTAGAACTGCTAGAAGGCTAGCTTAGTATCAGGCTTTCTGGCCTTAATAATCTTCATGATATGTTTTATGTAGGGTTGAGTTTAATCATGCTGCTGTGCTGTAACTGAGCATGTGTCCAGGCCTATGTAGTAACAGCCAGTTCTAGTACAGGAGCAGTCTGAGGTGGCAGAGGTTTGCACACAGTGCCGGAAGGCTGCCTGTGTGAGAGAGTCTCTTCTTGCCCCAGGCTCTCTTCCTTGGATTCAGCCTAAAGCTAATGTTTAAAATATAGTAAGTAATTATTTATCTGGGACTCTCTAGGAGGAGGAGTATCCAGTTTTCTTCCCTTTGGGGGTGGGACAGCATTTCTAATAATGGGGGAGTTAGTTACCTGCACTAAAACACTTTTTGTTATTCAAGTTATTTCATATCACAGGCTGCAAATACAATATCTTGTTTTATACCTACCCCTTGCCTGGGAGTTCTTTGTCTCCAAATGCAGGGCTATGCCAACCCTGCTTCCAGGAAAGCATAATTAGTGGTTTTATACAATGTGCATCTTCACTCAACCTGGCTCAGAGTGCTCATCTGTCTGAGGAACATACTTGAAGTGTTGCTGCAAATTACTCTGAAATGGCTGAAGTGGGGTCAGTGATGCTAGGAGTGCTGGAGTATACATCTTGCTCTTTTTGATGTCTCCTCTTCTAGCCCTATTTGGGACAAATCAAATTGATAGCACTGAAAATATCTGTAACAAGCAAGATGTTTATTCTCTATTGCCTATGCCTGGTCTCCTGCAATTGTCAGTACTTCTGTTTTCAAAGCAGTGATGGAGGTAAAGAAAATAGGTGGAATTTAGGCATATTTTTTACTCCAGTTTGAAGATGGGATTTTTGTAACCCATCTCATTTGAAATTATTTAGACCTTTGAATTTACGTATGGGCAGAAACTCTACAACCCCTTACTGACAGTGGACATGTGGTGTCCCTCTCAGGCCCCACACTGCTGCAGCTTGGCAGACTCCACTGCTCCTGGGTTGGATAACATCACCATAACTGGAACATTGGAAAACTGCTTAAAATACTCAGCAAGATTAAGTTTGTAAGTCTGCTTTCAGTTAATAGCCGGTACTATAGTTAATTGTCAGCTTTAGTACTTCCAGTATGTTTTAAACTAGTCACTTGATGGTGAGCATTAGGTATTCTGAATGCAAGTGTTACTGAGAGAAAACAATTGGCAAAGGAGTTCCTTCTAACACTGGAGATGGTTGGTGATGCTGCAAAAAAATCCACCCAAAACACTAGCGGCTCCCAGCTTAAAGGTTGCTTGGCAGGACTCAAGCTGGTATCACTCCCTGGGTGGGCCATTCCTGTGCAGTAAAGGACTGGTGGCAAGTTTTGTTTGTGAACTGTCTGTGAATCTTCCTCTTGGCTCTGTGTATCTATAACGATCTCACTAACCTGATGGGTACTCTTGTTGAGCCACTGCAAGCCAAGCGTGGAAGTAAAACACCCTTCTGGTGTTGCTGAAAGGGTTTAGATCTGGTTTAGTTTATGCAGTTTGCAAATCTATGTGTGAATGTGTCCGAGCCAGGCACCTCTTCTGCAGGCAGCATTGGTGCACCTTGTTCTCAAAAAACTGTTAGTGGGTTAAATTCTATTAAAGGATACGTGATCCATACCTCACAACCAGCAGATGAGTTCATTTGCCTTCGCCTCTTCCTACTCAACATAGGTAAAGTGTTCATCTTCCTTTTTTCTATCACAAGCCCTTTCTTGGTAGTTTGTTGTGGTTTTTTACTGAAACGGGGTGGGGGTTTTGTTTTGGTTGTTTTTTTTTGGGGGGGGTTGTGTCTCTGTTTTTGTTTGTTTTACTTATTTCTAATGGGGAAAAAAAATCAAAGGAAATTAAATAAATAGCGTTTTGGAAGTCATCCTTTGTGAAAACTTGCTTGCTTTGATGAGGGTGAATTCATAATCACTGAAAAATTAACCGTGCAGCTGCTAATCTTGCTATGATTGCCTGTAAGGAGACACTCGCTGTTCATTCTTTTGGCTACATGTATTTGTAAATAAGGCACAGAAAACACATGGGTATTATCCTCTGCCAGGTTTTAAACCACTGTTAATAGACTTGTTAATCCAATGAAGAATTGTATTTTTAAAGAATTAAAATGTATTAGCCTAGTGAGTACAAAAGGGGCAGTGAAGAGCATTTATTCATAGGGTAAATCAGCTGATCATCAAAACATTATCTGATTTACATTTCTATAGGCTTATGACCATATGAACAGGAAATTAATTTTGGCACTAGGTTCAATGCTACTCGAATCCACTGTGCTAGAAACAAGCACAAAGCTGCTATTCATATTGAGACCCGCCAGCCAATAAAGGACACAACCTGTATTTAATAATAATGTTATAATTTCCTTGATTTATCTCCCCTCCTCTAATAGGTAAAACATCTATTCTAAAAGCTCCCTAAAAGCAAGAACAACCTTGGCACTGAATTCGTGCAGCTTACCTTCTGGTGTATTCCCAGTTGGCCTGTACAGCTAAATTCTGTTGAGTTAGCGTTGAACTGAACTGCTTGGTTTGGGTACCACCTGTTTCTTTTTGGTTAGCGTGTAAACCATTGGGTTTTTCCTCTGTGGAACACCTCTGACGTAGCTAACCACAGTACAGTAGCTGAAGCAGCCTTTTGCATGTCATGGCGCTCTCCCCACTTTCCTCCAAATATTTTGCCCACTGAAAACAGACGAGTGAGTAAAAACTGGACAGTGCCCTTTGACATAGTACTTTGTTATCCTGCCTAATGCTATTGAGGAGAAAATTCCTTCTCCCACCTAATGCTGCTTATTTATTTATTTATTGGAGATGAATCCATGTTGCTTCAAGAGGCTTTTTTCTGTGAGATAATAGCAGCAGCTCTTCATAGATCCATTTGTTGCCGTGGTGATCTGCCTACTCCTTTTGTTAGTCCGCCTCTACTTCAATAAACCCCCTTCCTGTTATCAGCCTGGTGAAAATGTCTGCAAGTTCTTCAGAGCTAATAAACAGCATACATCATTCCTTTCATCTGATCACTATAGTGTGGGGCCGTGCGAGAGTGAGAATGGCACATGAATTGTACAGCTGCACTAATGGAACTCCAAAGAATGAACCTCCCCGGTCAGCCGAGCGAGTGCACGACAGGGCACTACCTTTCTCTCTGAGCCGGAGGTGCCAGGACTCAAAAGCTGCACCTTGTTTTGAGCACTGCTCTCTCAAAACTAATAAGGCAGAGCTCTCGATGACTGTTTCAGAGTTGCTGGTTTTAAAACCAAGCTTGAGGTCTCTTCAGTGTTTTCAGCCAGCTAAAACAATTTTTCTTCCCTTTGTCTTCTGTCCCTTACACCTCCTAGGAACGAGATGGAAAGACACTTCTTGGAGCTACTGCAGTTTAATATCAATGTTCCTGCCAGTGTTTACGCCAAATATTACTTTGATCTTCGCTCTCTAGCCGATGACAATAACCTGAGCTTTCTGCTGGAGCCTCTCAGTAAAGAGAGAGCACAGAAACTGGAGGTAATGGTCTGAGATTGCCTGGGCAGGGGACTCTGTATGTGTAGTAAGAGCATCTGTTGCTAATCATGTTAAGTGGCAGTTAGAAAAACTAAAAAGCTTTTAAATTAGTGTATTACAGGCTAATTTAACCCCTTTATGACTACAGTTACCATTTCTAAAACCATGCCTGGGCTAAGCTAGTATTCCAAGGAAAGGAAGAGACAGAGGTTACGGAAGTCTAGCAGATCACAAAGTAAAATGGATGTTATTTTGGGAGCTGTAGCTCAGCTAGGCTACTTCAGATTGAAAGGATTAGTGTCACATGTAATGGATTGTCTGTCCTTCCCTGGCCACAGTCTGTATTCCAAGCACCTAGAGACAGTCACACTCAGACCTTTCTAAATACTACCAGCTGAAGGTTTCCCACTGCATCCCACTGCACAGCTGCTTTTAGATTTAGAGGGAGCACTCTTAACTGCTCTCATGGTTTAATAAACCATTTGTCTGGGGACAGCTGCAGAAATAATACGTTTCTTTCCACAACTTCCAGAACCTCACCTTTGCAAAGAAATGTTGTTTTAAGATAAACTCTTGGAATAGCCCCTTCTTAGGAGTCCTTCAGAATGCCCAGAGGAGTGTAAATACACATTACTGGCCCTTTCTGCTCAATGGGAAAGGCTGCCTTGTGTGAGTCCCGCAGCCTTCTTTGGTACGAAGGCTCGTACGTTTGCAGAGTCGTTTTCCTCGTTGCTGGACATGTGTCAGACATTTTGGAAATAGCTAAATTACCTGTGTTCCCAGGCAAAATTTCGTGTTGGATCAGTGCAACCTTTCATCTGTCCAGGTTTAATTGATGACTCTGCGTGTTGTTTTGTTGACCTTTCAACAAAGGCATTACCGCAGGCCCTGTGTACACTGATACCATAGCCCCTTTCAAAGAGGGGTGTGCTACAGTATTCTTGGCTTACATTGTTCCATTGTCCACCCCCAATGATTCTGCCAAGTGCCAGGTTTTATTTCAGCAGAAGTGGCTGAACTTTGGGAATAAGTGTGATTCCTCGTGGTCCTTTGGAATGATAGGTATGATATGCCTACAAATTCCTCTATTTAAAGTTAAGCAGTGCAACTCTTCTGCTTTGTCTCACCCGTGTTACTTGCACTTTAAGCTAACACTGTCACTAATTGTAAATGTGGTTGTAGGGTAGTTCATATTCCACAGGAAATTGTTTACTGAACTGCTCGGTGCCCAGGCATAAGTGGATGATTTACAGATTGTGAGCCTGTTTTGTTTCTTCTTTGCTAGCATTTGGGGGCTTGGTATTTAAAACCAGAGTAATTTTCAGTACAGTGTGTGATTTGCCATAATGTATTTACTAATGCATGTGTATAGGAGATTTGGGGGTTTAATTCTAAATGGGCTAAATATTTGAACCATTTGCTAAAATTTTTAATTCTGCCTTTTGAGTAGACGCACACGAGCAGTCGATAGGAGCCCGTATGAAGCAGTAAATTAGTATTCCAGGGATTGAAGAGTGATTTACACCATATGGGCGACTGGGGCTAAATATGTCAACACAGGTTGCTTTATGATTGATGTCCTAGCATTAAAACAGGATGGAGAGTCTGTCTGGTCTTGCACCGGGAGCTCATGCAGCCAGTGTCTTAAGGAATGCCCCTCTCGAGCCAAATGCATGCCTCCAGAAGGTCGGCAGAAATAAATGTAAATAATTATTTTAAACCACACTTATAAGTTTATTCATGCTCAGAGTGCTTTTCACCTTTTGAACTTCCAGAACACAGGGCTGCGCTGAATGGGTGCTGTCTTAAAGGGAAGGTGTAGGCTTGTAGCTGATGGCAGGACTCTGAAAGTTCATCTGGTGATAGGGGGTAAATTATTAATGGAGGTAAATGTTCAGGACTGAAATTCGGTTCAGCCTGTTATTACAGGTATCCTTATTTATTTATTTGCATAGATAATGCCTGAAGGCTCCTATCAGAAATAGGCCTTGCAGGGGAGAACCCACGGTGTTTTCTGGTCAGCCATGTGTTATTAGGATTTAAATAATGAGGCTTGTTGCTAGAACAGCTGCACCAGCATAAAGGCTGCTTGACTAGCTAGGTAAGCAGAGCAGAAGCAAGCCAGTAAATGGTGGAAAAGCAGTTA